AGAGAGTGTGTGTGTGTATATGTGTGTGTATGTGTTTGTGTATCTGTCTGCATGTATGTGCATGTGTGCGTGTGTGCGTGTGTGCGTGTGTGTGTGTATGTGTGTATGTGTGTGTGTGTGTGTGTGTGTGTGTGTGTGTGTGTGTGTGTATTTATGTTACTTTTTGTTTTAAGGTGAGTTGGAGCTGAAAAAATAATAAACCAAAAGCCAAACAGAAACGAAGTAATGTTTGTTGTTGTTGTTGTAAATTTGATCTTATTATCTTGGGGGGGGGGGTAAGAAACCTTCAGGTACAGAGCACACCTCGCTTGCCTAAGGCATGCCGGGTTCTCCTTCTTCCTCCACATCCCTGATCTTAAGTTAGATAAGATTGAGCACTTAGTCTTCTCGCTTAGGAACCAAACAATATTGGAGGTCCTGTGTACACGTTGGGCACGATGAAGATCTCTTGCTGGTTACAAAGCCTAGAGAAGCAGTCCGTTTGGCGCAACCCAGGCAAAATTAAGAACTCTTCCTCCATAAAAGCATCTGAATCATACCTGTAAAATGTATAGTAGGACACGCCCATACTCATTTCTAAGTTCTAGACGAATTGACCACATACTGTCTTTTGGAGCAAATTCAGGGAAATCAAGATCTGAAGGGAGGAAAGTAGTACTTGGGCAATCTGATTATTGTATTTCTACGGCCCAGGCCACGCTGTATCACACATACTGCTTTAGCCATCACCGATATCGATATCGATTGACAGCCAAAGAAGAAAATGTGTGATGCAGTGTGGTGGAATCAGGCTCTCGTCAATTTTTGGGCATGTAGAGTTATTGATATCATCTTAGAGCTCGTTCATTTGTTTTTATTTGGATGAAAAAAATGTCCTTTTACCTTGAATACAAATCGAGATATTTGCGAAAGAAGGAGATGGGGGTCACCTGTTTTCGGAGGTAAAATTAGTGAAAAAATGGCCGCCAAAGATTAGTTATTTCCTTAGCTTAAGAGTCCATGGTAGCTGGAAATTTACATTCTTTTTGCTTTTAATCAATATTTTTCAGAAAAATTCACATAGAAATCAGTTTTTTAATGGGCATGAAAGGTGTTGGCAAAAAAAATAAAAATTGATAAAAATTCACAAACCTGCGGAAAAATGCAAGTTTCTTCACTTTGATTATTTTGACGAGAGCCTGATTCCACCACACTGCCTCACATATATCCTTATGACTTAGCAATATCAAAAGTTTTGTGACTTTACCCGTTTTCCCACTGTAAGATTCTCATTTCTCAAAGAACATGACCGTTAAAAATAGAATAAACAATCAACCATTTACAATATTCTTATTCCTATTCTTATTCTTCCTCTTCTTCTTATTATCATCATTGTTGTTGTTGCTATTATTGTTGTTATTGTTCTTTTTTTATTATTTTTATTATTATTATTATTATTATTATTATTATTATTATTACTCAGCATTTGGAGGGGTCAGAGTACTAACGGGCCTATGTCATCTTGCTGTCGTTTCAAGAAAAATACAAAAAGTAGCTGGACTTTATAACATGATATACTACAGAGTTTTGGGGTATTTTGTAAAGACTAAAACTTCTGACTGAAAGCCATCCGATTGTTTCATTTGAATTATATGTAGTGTAGCGCCCCTGAAGTTAATATTATGTCGTCCTACTATGAATTTTGTTTATTTTTTTAAAGTAAAATTTGATGTAAGTCCTTTTTCTGACACCTTCAATTACAGCGATTAAAATGTACCTGTGTCAGATATGTAACCGCTAAGCTCTTCGCTGTCGCACGCAAGAGATCCGAGTTCAATATTCCCGAGTGGTGAGAAAACGGTGTCCCTCTTTGCACGGGTTGATCTTGTCAGACAGATTTAGAAACCAACTTCCTTACTTGCTTTTACTTTTTTCTTTCGCTTGTACCGGTGGGTGTCTCGGGGAGACACAGGTGTCTCTCTCCAGCAAGGCGAGTGGCCTGTAGGAGGGACATCCCGTGAGCCACAGATTCACTCCATCGTCGCCTTGGTCTTCCTCTGGCTCTCCAGCAAGAATATTTAATGCTGTATGCTCTCAGAGCTGGATGGTTTGAGGGCATCCGCGTGAGGTGTCCCAACCACTTGATCTTTTGTTTTTCAATGTGTGGTGTTGCTCCCACGGTGTCCCTTATGAATTCATTTTTTATTTTGTCTCTTCTTCTTTTGTTAACCGCTCTTCTTAAGCATTTCATCTCCCATGTGACCAGTTTCCTCTCTAGGGCTTTTGTTAGGGACCATGTCCTAAATTATCTCAATTGTCTTGATGGGTGCGTAAAAACTCCTACATTTGAAATAAAATGCATGTATTATGTACCCTAATTCGTTGGCACATATAACTTCCTCAGATTTCGTCAGTCGACCCGTCAGGACATGTGAAGTTCACGTCCAACTTCTTCGGTTCCTTCTCGCTCAGTCAAATGGTTATCTTACCCAACACCATCGACTTCAGCGCCCTCTTCGCCAACTTTTCCGACCGGCTCAAAGACAGTCCTTACGTGTTGGCCTTGAACTTGCTCATTTTGGCCTTGACCGTCCTAGGGGTCATGTTAGTGAGGAGAATGGATAAAGCAGATTACAGCGCGGTACTTTTATGGTTTTCTTTCTTTCTAGTTGTTCTGTCATTTTGCTGGATTTCTTATTAAGTAATTGTTTCTTTTCTCTCTCTCTCTCTCTCTCTCTCTCTCTCTCTCTCTCTCTCTCTCTCTCTCTCTCTCTCTCTCTCTCTCACTCTCTCCTACTATACTCATTCGATGTTTCATAAATAAAGC